GTATATTTTGGAAATTAGCCCCTTGTCAGATGTATCATTGGCAAATATGTTTCTTCATACAGTGGCTCCCTTTTCGTTTTGTTGATGCTGTCTCTTCCTGTGCAGAGCCTCTAAGTACATTCTTACCCATCCAGCAATCGCACTCCGTGATGCTTCCCAAAGGACCTGAACTCTTGTGTAGACGCGAAAACCTGCATGCAAATGCTGATTGCAGCTTCTGCTCTAATGCTGACACTTGGAGTCAACGAGGGCGTCTTTCCCTAGCTGAGTGCATGATTGACGAGGGGCCCGACCACACAATGGAATTTTACTCAGCACAAGGAGATAGAGTAGCAGGCTGGTGGACAGTTAGGGACGGGGGCAGCCCTAAGTCCTTCGCGAAAGACTGGGGTGGGGGCGGGGGTGGGAGTTACAAAACCATAGACTCCCAGACGTTAGGGATGCTTTCGGGCACGGTAACATCTGCTTCTTGTTTTAAAGGCTTGTTTGTGTGCCGAGTAGTAAATTCGAAGTTGCAAGTATTCCCATAGGGAGGGATATTAACTTTTAAGCAAATCTATTTGTTGTTGCGAAATCAGAGTGTGGCAATTCAGTTAGTAAGAGTTTCAGCAGCAAGGGAAAGCTTCGCCTAATTCAAACATCGAAAAGTGTGAGATGTTTAGGTAACATCCCTCCCTCTTCTGTGTCCACCTTCCCAGCCCACATCCCCCAACAGGAAGTCACTAAGTATTAGTATAGGCTTTTAGATTGTTTTATCCATTCCCGAGACAATACAGACATATTTTTCTCTGATTAACATCTTTCTGCACCTTGATTTTTTTTTTCTCACTTAATACACCTTGGAGATTCTTCTATAGTGATAATGAGACCACTCAGTGAATTTAGAGTGGTCTCATTCTCACTATTCTCATAATTATTGAGGTACAATTTACATACAATACGAGGCACCTTATATGACGTGCAATTAGATGAGTTTTGATAAAAGTAGAAATGCAGGGTCTTGTGGTAAGGGCATCATTTAATGTCTTAAGAAACTTTTTCAAAGTGGCTGTTCCAGTTTACAGTCCCACCAGCAATGTACGAGCGTTCCAGTTTCTCTGCATTCTTACCAACACTTGGCATTGGTACCAGGCTGGTGTGTTCAGTGGCTGAGCATCAACCTATGAATGGAGGGCCCCAAAGACACAGTCAAGGCTCTGGTGCACTCAAAGGGGAACGTGATGTCCTTTGGCAAAGTGAAGAAGATGCTTTAGAAGAATCTGTACTCAGCCAGAGTTTGGTTAGAC